TGCTGGTGAGAGTGTACGAAACGTATTCCGATCGCTGTTCATCGATGACTTACAGCGGTGTGTTCCACAGGGGCCTCCGTCCTCGGCCCAAACAACGAACTCTTCAAAAACCATCATTCATCATCGCATCTACAGTCGGCGCTTTTCACTCGGTAACTTTTTTGCTTTTGATTTATGCGGATGAATCTAAAGATATGGAAGGGGTACATCCTCCTCTGAGGGATGGCTGAATCGACCTACAAGAGAACAAGCTCGAACCTCCTGCACACTCTGGGTCGATTCCATAGTGGCATTTACCCCCATTAATCAAGAACAAATGTTCCGTCCTGCCTATCGGAGCTCCTGAATCCACTTTCGGCGACGCATACCACATAGGTGGTTTTCTTTCTGGACATTGAAAAACTCAAAAGAAAATGTTACCTTCAGAAAGAGCTTCTGGCGGCGTGATTGTTTCCCAGGACTTAAGATAACACACTCAGGACACCATGATAAAAGAAGGGTTGACCGACATGTAAATGCAAAAAAAAACCTACAGAATGTTCATGCCATCCGAAGAAGCTTTCTTTCTGGTCGCTTGAACACCAATAACCAGCGAGAAAACTTACACTTTAGAACTTCTAGTTCACCTCGCATGTGCGCCCCGATTTTGGAATAAACGAGCCTTTTACACAAAATAGCATGCCTACCCGCTTTCCAAAACCTGAGTCTGCGAACAATGATCGAAAAGGTCCAACGGCAGTGGATCGAAGTTTTGTCCCGAGTTACGTGACCTGCCATATCCCCTATCGGCTTCGGCATTTGAACATGTTTTTTATGGATTACCGCCGCGGCGTGGGGACTTGGTCTTTACCCGTCGTATCCTCAGGGGAGAACTGGGGAGAGAGTTGCAGGAATTCTTCCACCCTCAACAATCGGGAGTTTGCGACCAGAGGCCACCAATGGAAACTATTTCAAGCCCCGGAGGCTCACTCTACAGTCTACGGTCTCAATTCTTGCTCTAACTCCACGCGCCCGTTGTGAATAATTGGGAACCGGTTACCGCCGACACAGAATCGACCTAGTATTTGCATAGCACAGACCGAGATTACGTTCAAAGCTGACTGAACCATCGTTAAAAAATCCTCTGCTGGACTCTATTCAAATCCAGCGAGAACTGGGCATATTCAAATGCTACCCCGTCAAGGGTTTCCGAATGCTTGTGGATGATCCGCAGGTCATCCGGCATTATAAACAAATGAATGTTCGTTATATTGTTCTCACCCTTCGTTCAGACCATACTTGGAGTACTGAGCGTGCAGGCCTGTCCTCCATGCTTGGTATCGCGATAAAGATGACACTTGAACGAGTTCTGAGGGTTGGTACCACAAATGGTACAAGGATTGAGGCATCTCTCCTATCCCGATAGGCTGCTCAGTTGCAGATGTTTTCCGCTGCACTATAGTCGCCTTTCGGGGAGACCTGATTCTTATACGTACCGTATAATTGACCCTAACAAGATTGTGGGCCTGATCTAACTGGACTGTTCCACAGCCGGCTCAGATGTCATCTCTTCGTGTGTCCACCCTCTGAAGTTGCATAAGCCTAGATCTGATCACGTTAAGGCTGACGTTCGGTTGTCACGCAGGGTTCATCAGACTCATGGAATCGCACTTACCCAGCGAAGTAGTGTTAGCACCAACGGTGAAGGAGTTTTGAACATCGACTCGACGCCCTTGGGTTACAGTTTCAGACCTTTCCGTTTAGTTCTTAAATTCGACAATCTATTTTCTTGGCTCCTCACATCTATTACTAATTATTGTCTTAACCACACATTCATCTCCCTGTACTACAATTACTCATTTATTTTTGGGGTAATCTCTATCAACCACTGGAACTACGGTTTCCTCTATCCTCACTAACACTTGATCATATCTCATTACACGCTTCAGTGGCCGAGTACACACAAGTGGGGACTTGCTAGTGTCTAGGCGCTACGACAGTGGGTCATTGTACATTGAGCGTTGACCGTTTATGTGACTCTCGTCGTCGTATCGAGTTGGCTCCTCTCCGGCTTTCCAAGCCGCTCCCGCAGAACTCCATCCTGGTGTCAACGACGCATTTGAAGAAGGAACACACTTGGGATTGCTCCCTACCGCTCTCCTCGTCCAAAAACTTATGCTACAACTTGACAACATTGAACTTGATGACTACACAGACACTGTTAGAACATGATGAAACCCGGATACCGTGTTGCTTTCCGCTACGTAGTGCGACGGCCTCTCCGGAGTGTTTCTCTATCAGTTGCGCAATGACGAGCATTACCAAGCAAATGATCGAGGTAGAGCGCGATGGAGCTGACCAAGGGATTTCCCCTCCTGCTGCTCTACTACCCCTCTGATGGAACCCCCATGAACTACAGCTACCTATCTCGCTCTGTCTGCCTTATTGTATTTTTTGGCAATGCCGATGGGATAGAAATGGAAATTTACAACTATCTAAATCATCACCTCATCATAATCCATTATTCATATCCTATTAAAATTCTAAAGTAAAGTATATACTCTTTAACTGCATCAAATTCACGAGCCTATACACCCTCTACTTTTTCAAATCCAGTCCGTGATAACGCATAAAACTCAACACCATTTAAGCGCCTGGGGTTAACCGGAACACAATGTCCCTTTCCCAGGCAAACAAACCTAAATTATCTATAATCTAATAAAAAATCTCATGTCAATCAAACTTCAATTAGCCCACAACTTACATTCCCTTCGTTATGGATATCATCCGCAAACGCGTTTTACCCGGAATATTGAGCATGAAAGCTAGTGGTATTATTTATAGGAAGGACTTATGTAGCCACATGGGATTTACTTTAGTTATAGCATGCACATATCAAGCTTTGTGTACTTCTCATCCATTGGTTAGCTGACGCGCTTCCCAGTTGGTCCACACTGCGGAACGCTGATTGGTTGCTCGTAATTTGAAACACCGTCGTTATGTCTAATGTTTCAAGTTCACTTTTAGTTACTATAGCCTAATTGGCTCTACCATATGGAATCAGAACTAATGTGAAAAATGTGAAAGCTATGCACAGTGGGTACCGTTCCTGTCGCAAGTGAACTTGAACTTGGGCGCCACACACACTCGCTGTACCTTACTAGTTTTCAAGGTCCTACTTGCATGTATATAAATGCATGTAGCGCGTTGACACGCTACAGAGCAGTGATCAGTGGCTATAGCAAGTCAGCAGGTAAGACATCGAGCGTAGCCTAGAATGCTATTATCATTTCCCTTTCTTCTTGCCTTCCCATTTTGTCTTCAGTCTCGTAAGAGCAGCTCCCTCTCATGTGTATTTCCACACCATCCATCCTGACACCACACGCTCACTCCTACATCAGCATCTGTGCATGGCATTGTCATGGCAATGCTGTCCAGCACGCCACGAGTTGTAACAGGCACACACTCTATCCAGCTCCGACTCTTACTAAGTGGTTATCATGTAACTGTCCAGCCGTCTACGAACTACCACTTTTGCCTTTCAGCCCCCTCGGACTATCACGACCCACGTACGTCCTGGACACGGAAGCCTTCGGAACCCTCAACCGGACACATACTACAGCGCTTTTCGTAGCATCGGTTGTTTTGTATGATGTCCGCTTTGGCTCGTAGAGTTATCAGTACTAGCAGGGCCCCTCGGGCCATTGGCCCGTACAGGTAAGGACTTCGTCAAATGTTTAAGTTCTTTAGTCAAGCTGTGATTGTAGGTGGTACAATGTACATTTCTGGACAACTTGGCTTGTTACCAACCACCATGGACTTCCCTTCCGAAGATGTTGAACTCCAAACACATCAGGTTTTCACCAACTTGAAGGCCATTTTAGAAGAAGCAGGTCTTACACTAAAAGATGTAGTTAAGACCACAGTATTGTTGTCGTCTATGAATGATTTCGCCAAGGTCAATGCGATCTACGCAGAATGTAAAATGTGTTTAACGCAATACTAATTCAGACAGATTTCAAAGAGCCGTTTCCAGCTCGGTCGACTTTCGAAGTGGCTTGTCTTCCAAAGGTACACGTTGATATTTCCTAACAAGTTTTAAGGACGCTAAGGTAGAAATTGAGGCAATAGCCGCCGTTACACTTCCAACGCACGAATAAACACATTTGCTTGAAAATAAACAGCCTTTCATTTTTTTCAGCCTACTCACTTGGGATACTGGATAATCGTCACCTCGTTGCTCGATACAGGTGGCGTAAACTGGCAGAAAACATTTTTCGGAGGCCCTCAAAATCACTGGAGTATGCCGTTCTAGCACTTGAGTTAGATCCTGTCGGTCTTGAGTTATTCGAAATATCAGCACTTTCCTCGGGATCCCAAGAATCCCGCGTAAGTCGATGTCTCTCCTGTAGTGTCCTCGTTTCTGAGCACATATGAACTTAAACCATTTAGACCGCTTCCGCATAAGTGACTGATTAGTGTACGCTGATATAGAGGGTAGAGCGCTCTGAATGATCACTTTTGTGCCCCTAGCAGTCTCAGTACGACACATTTTAGACGATAATCGATCACTCAGTGAAAATATATTCTCCATAGCCTTGATGCATGCCGTGAGTTCATTTTTCCTGCTCTCAAATGTCCGCTTTCAACGGAAATCGTTTCCAAAGGCATTTCAGTGCATTACAAAACTACACTCACTACGTTTTGGGCGTGACCGATATGTGATCAAAATATGTCTCACTGCGACAGCCAGCGAAAGTCTCTCGGCCACTCAAGCCGACCGATTGTGCGGTTTTCATAAAAATGCGACTAACGACCTATGTCCTGTTGTGTTAGCGATGCACTATAATATTCAGTCATATTCAAAGAAATCACTCTATTTGCTGCTGCTGTGAGTGCCCGAAAACACTTTCAAATGAGATGGATGGTCCTCCACCTGTGCCGACATAGTTCGTGCTAACTTTGGAATAGCCCATAGATGGCCTTTGACGGCCTTCATGTCTGGTCGGATAGTCTGTTAAGCTGTACGAACGTCGGCTCACCTCATGTTGAGGCTGAGGTTGCATTCTTGATGCTTCTTCACCGCAGTTGGGCTAAACCAACTTACACTTAAACTAGGTCTTTTTAAGCTGAATAAATTTCATTCCACTTTATTTGGTTTGTTCTGCCTATCTGAATAATGTTCTATTAACTGGCCACGTTGCTTACGCTAATTCCGCTTGTCTTCGGTAATTTTGTTGCGTTTGTAGCATTTTTAAGTAACTTGTGGACATTTCTCATTTATCGCGGAATCGTTGCTAACCAGCTTACTTCATATGGTAATTCAGGGAAGAGTTATGCCACCGTATCTGTATGCATTATTGGATTTATCTTATTTCAGCTTGTTGTTTAAAGTGAATGGCTGTTGCTTGATATCCCCGGTGTGGATGCGCTTGATGTGTATGTTGACAAGGTGCCTACCTGTCTATTACCCACTACCTCGTTCATACTGGCTCCAGGAGGCAGTTGGTCGTTGCTGGAGGGGACGGGGTGCTCGGTCCTTGTGGCCGTGCTAGGCTCAAAGAGCGGTTCCATGCACTCAGTGTGGAGCGGACTACGGTCCAGCCACCGCCTTGTGTGCGCTTGATTCTCCAAATACAGGGCGTTTGTGTATGCCTGTGAAGGAGTGTGGGCCGGCTCCGTTGGTGAAATGTGGCTCCCATCCACATTCCTCCCGGTTTTATTCCTTTGGGTTTACACTGGATATGGGGTGTGTGGTTGGAGCTGTGGGTGGTGCAGCGCAAGAAACCCATGGTCCGTGTGTAGGCGCAGGCGTCCTGTGGCTGGCCAAAGTGACAGGCAAATCCGAAACCAGATGCCGCCAACCATATATATGTGGTGGGAGAACCCATGGTGCTCTGAAGCTTGTGGTGGCGAGATCCTGACATCGTCGACCCGCTACTTCTATTGATGTGCTGCGGGCTCATGTCCTGGACTCCTCCTCGTGGCGACCGCTGAGCGGGAATTGGGTTACACTCTTTTTCTAGCTAAGTTCCAGGGCAATTCCGCTTGAGTCGGTTCAGACTCACGGCGCTCGGCCCACTGCCTTTCGGGTGTATACTTTATCGAAAGCTTTGGCTGAGGACCTGAGTCGTTCTCTCGTCAGGTGTGGGCGCTCTGGCATATCCCAATCCAATCGCAACCATGAATTACGCCATGCTGCATCCGCCGTCGCGCAGTGGCCTTAGAAAAAGGGTCGCCTTATCTGCTGCATACAACGGGGTGCATAAGCGGAAACATGTTACTTCTGGCGCTTCCCTTCTTTCTTCTTCCCGTGCACATACTCTACCCGTCCCCGTTTCACCTAACCTAATCCAATCCAGGACGTCACCTCCCATACGGTTGCCCGCCAATGCAATGGTATGCCTCCGCGCAGAGCGCTCAACACTGGGTGCTGGAACGTTCGCACTTTCCTCTACTGGCATACGATTGGGCGTCCTGAGCGACGCACTGCACTAGCCGCAATGGAACTGGCGCTCCACAACGTCGATATTGCGACGCTCAGCAAAACCCGGCTCGCTGAGTAAGGTAAGTTGCATGAAGCTGGTGTTGGCTATACATTCTACTGGGTGAGCAACGCCACCTCAGCACCATGGGAACATGGGGGTCGGATTTGCAATATCCGATCGCCTAAATGCGCGGCTGGTAGGTAAGCCAACAGGCATCAGCGCGCGACTAATGACTGTTGGCCTACCAATCGGATGAGGTAAGTTTGCCACTTTTATCAGCACCTACGGTCTGACCATGTCTTATCCTGATGACACGCGTGATCAACTCTACACTCAGTTATCCTCCGTCTGTGCCTGGGAGCGACCGAGTATTTCTGCTGGGTGACTTCAACGCGCGGATTGGGCGTGATGCATCGGTGTGGACAGATGTTATCGGTCCGCATGGCAATGCTTCAGCGAATGCGAACGGTCATAGGCTGCTTCTACTGTGTGCCACTCACGGCTGACAATCACGAACGCTCGGTTTGCACTGAGCGCGAGTGATATAGCAACTTGGACGCCCCCGCGGAGTGGTCACGCTCACCTGCTCGACTATGTCATCGTACGTCAGCGTGATATGCGTGAAGTGCGCATGACACGTGTACTGCGTGGAGCTGAGTGTGGCACTGATCACAATTTGGTGCGGACCAAGCTGTACATCTATTTTCGTAAATCTGTGTATTGCACTCCTGCCGTGAATCGGAGGCGTAAATTTAACATTCTGTCCCTCGGTACTATGAGGAGGCGTGTTGAGCTGGAGAAATCCATGGCTGCACGCCTGTGGGATGTGGAATGCATAACCACAACGGGAGACCTGTGGCAACTCATTCGTGACCAGGTGACAGCTAATGCCAAGGAGACCATCGGGCACGCAAACTGTAAGCGACCCGATTGATTTGATGAGAACAATGCGACGATTGATGCATTGGTGTCGGAGAAGAATGCATCTCTAAACGGCAGCGAAGCGGGGACGATGAACCGGTGGGAGGTGCGATATCTCGAGCGGTTCCATCAGCAGTGTTTGCGACGGATTCTGCGCATCATTTGGTGCGACAGAGTTGCGGACACTGAAGTGTTGCGCCGAAGTGGAATGTATGCAGTGGACTGCATACTTTTGCTGAGACACCTTAGGTGGCTCGGTCATGTGAGCCGTATGGATTCGACGCGGATACCGAAACAGCTATTATATGGTCAGCTGAGTATTGTGAAGCGTCATGTGGGAAAACCGAAGTTACGATACCAGGACATGAGCAAAATGAGCTTATCACGTTCTGATGTTGATTGCAGGTCATGGGAATCGAAGGCGGTTGAGCGGCGTGCATGGCGCAATCTGATTAAGAAGGCAGTTGCCTAGATGCGGGAGAAAGACCTCATGCATGCGGAGAAGAGGCGGCAATTGCGGAAGCGACATGCGTCGATGGGTTGTATTTTATCGACAGCGAGCGCGTAGTGCTGTAGCACATGCGGTCGCGCATGCCTGAGTCAGGGAGGCCTAGTGAGTCATGAGCGAGGCCACTCGGGGCCACCACCGAAGCGACGATGGGTCCTGCAGAGAACGTAGACAGAACCGGCGCAGCGTTTGTAGGTACGCTGTATTCGGTTTACTAATCGCATGCTTACATGCTGTCTATTCCAGGTGGTGGGTTTGCTACATTGTCTTAGTGCTTTTTTATCTCATATTAATTTCTACCTGAACTTCCAAAAACTTGCACACGTCGCGGTAGTGGCATTTTCTTAAGATATATTTTCTGACGTATTGAACTTTCCGCGGATTTGTTGCAACCAACTTTTTTCATAAGCTCTTTCTGTGTAGAGTTACGTCACCGTATCTATGCGTTATTCGATTTATTTTATTTGCTATCGTCGTTTCAAGTGCTTAGGTGTTGCTCGATATCCCCAATGTGGTTGCGCTTGATGTGCATGTTGACAAGGTGCCTACATGTCTATTGCCCTCTACTTCGTCCAGGAGACAGTTGGTCGTTGCTGGAGGGGACGGGGTGCACTTTCCTTGTGGTCTTTCTAGGCTCGAAGAGTGGTTCCATGCAGTCAGTGTGGAGCGGACCAGCCACCGCCCTGCGTGCGATTGATTTCCCAAATGCAGCGTGTTTGCGTTTGCCTGTGAAGGAGTGTGGGCCGGTTCCGTTGATGAAACGTGGCAGCCATCAGCATGCCTTCCGGTCTTATTCCTTTGGGTTTACACTGGATATTGGGTGTGTGGTTGGAGCTGTGGGTGGTGCAGCGCAAGCCACCCATGGTCCCTCTGCAGGCGCAGGCGTCCTGGAGCTGTCCCTGTGGAGACCACAGTGACAGGCAAATCGGAAACCAGATGCCGCCAACCGTATATATACATATATATAGCTTGTAAATCTTGACGTTGCGAAACTGTCCCCCGTTGCCCAGTGGCATATAGTGCTGACTGGCGGTGCAAGACGCTGCTGGTCATGGGTTCGAATCCTGATGGATCCGATGGATGTGCACTACTGCAGATGCACAACTGGCTGAAACTGCAGTCTGATGCTTTTTCGGGCATGTGGACGACTATCTCATTTGGAAGCTGACAGTGATAAACCTCGATTTTCTGGTTTTTCACACACCCTTTTTATATTTTTCGCAGTTTTTAATACTTAGTGTTTTTGTGAACCTGATGTCAGGAAGGCTTGTGCGCACTGCTTCCCCTGCGACCGGTTTTGTGCCATGGCTTCCATCGTTGTGAATCATTGGCATTCCTCATCTTTGGGTCCTCAGCCAGGGAGTCCTACGGGGCCAGCGATGACCAAGCAACGTATCAACAACTTCAGTCATTGTCGCCAGGTAGACGGTTGACCTACACGCCGTGTTTTCCAGAGTATCCCTGCGTGCGCA